AATCACCACAGCTCTGTGTGTGCGTAGTCACACGCAAATATCACCCACTCATAGTGAAATTGACTGCCTCGTCGCGGTGACAATTTGCACTGCAATTTTTCCGAGGTGCGAAGGAGCAGAGCACCCCGCCCCTGTTCGTTCACCCGCAAGAAGGAGGGACGCCGCATTCTCCCCTGCGACGCAAATACACGCCGCGCCCAGCACGTGGTGCGGTGCACGTGAATTCCGCGAGGGAACTGTTTGCCACACGACTGGGCCGCACGGGGCACAGCCTGCGAAGGCCGCCGCAGACGTCTCCGCCTCCTTCGGTCGTCGTGGCGGTGGAACCCGCAGATTGTCAGATGCCGGCACATTTGCCCCCGACGCAACCAACAAAAAAAGAGTGCGGCAGCATATTCCCCGCTGCAAGAGCAGAAGCGGCAGCCCCACTCTGCGGCCACCGCACCACCCAGTAAGCCCCACACAATCTTCTGCATTTCTTTTATAGGCCGCACGTCCCCGCAAGGCTCCGTCACGGCAACGCATGAAAGTGGAGGCAAAAACACCCTGCCACCGTCGCCACCAAGCCACACAACCCAAAAGAAAGGCCCAAAGACAGAGCAGGACAAAGTGTCCGCGCGGACGCATCCACAGCGGCAGCAAAAACTCAGACAAAAGAAGCCGCCCACCCCGTGCCGCACTGTTGTAGTTGGCGGCGCCGCGCTTCAAGACAACACTCCCACACGCAGCGCGCTACCTTCGCAAGGAAAGGGAGTGAGACACAGCACACACTATTCCTTTGTCGTTGTTTCGGCCTCTTCATAGCCACCAGAAAGCATCCTCCACGTGCACTGTAGTAAATATATGTCGTGTACGTGTGTGCCTGCAGATACAAAAATAAAAAAGAGGAAAGAGGATCAAAGCGTGTGAGGACGCACATACACACACAGAAGAGATGCAGGAAGCAAAGATGGAAAAACCAGATGACTAAGACTCAAAATGGCACCGCAGCCCGCGCAGTGGCAACACACAAGAAATATGATTTACCAAAAACAAAACAAAGATACTCCTCAGGACGGTTTCACAAACAAAAACAAAAATATGTTGTCGTGGAATGCCCCCGTAAAATCCCCGCGAATCCATTCACATTTTGGCCGCATATAAAAATGAATTACATATTCGCTTCAATTACCGAAAGCTCCCGGTGTCCAGACACCGTTTGACTTCCACAGGGACCCGCAGTGCGTTGCTGTTACTCTCATTCCTTTCTTATTTCTTTCCTTTTACTCTCATCGGCGGACACACAATGACGAGAACGTCCGCAGCCGCCCAACGGAAGCGGTTAGTTGTTTTTTTCGTGTCTTTTCAAACGAATTCGATGGCCTGCGCGTCAGCCGGCACCGTGGCACACGTCCGCATCCACCCAAAACCAAGACGTAAAAAAGAGAGAGCCCCGCTCCCCCCGCAGCGACCGCAGTGCGGGGGCGCAGTGAAGCATCTCCCCCTGCCGGGCAAACACGCAGGCGCAACGCAGTCGTCAAGAACGAACCGACAAAACAACAACCAACAAACCAACAAAAAAAACACATCCGTAAAGCAGCAAACCTACAAAACACTGAACGAACAAATACACACACAAAAAAAACGTTGACTGGCCTCCAATCATTGCTAGAAGCGAACAATCTAACAAACAAAAAAAGAACAGAATGGAATAAATGAAGACACCGCGGTGCTGGCGCCGAGAGGAGTGCGCAATTTGTGGGCCAAAAAAAAAAAAAAAGAAACGTCGTGCGTAAAAAAAAACAACACACAAAATGCGTGACCACATGAGACTTTATTTACTTCTGAAAGCGCGTGGAGAGACGGAGATGTTCTCAGTAGAAGCGCAAACTCCCCTCCACCGGGGCCCACTCAGCACAGGGCCGCAAAGCCCCATAGCCCCAATAGCAGCAGAAACAGCCGAGACACACACCCACGCACCGTGCCGTCACCCCTTCCTGAATCGGGCCTCACACGTGTAAAGCTGTCGAAAGCAACGGAGCTGTCACCAGAAAGAGAAATGCTGGATGCATCCTTCACAAGACTCGCGCTAGTATTTTTGGATCCACCGTCAGCCATGCTGCCATCGTCGGGCCCATCAGCCAGGCGCACCTTTGGCGATGACGAAGCTGGCGAAGACCCAGGCTCCTCACCAGCACCGTGATTGCCTTTATGGGCCTCCTCTGGTAGAGGCCCTTTAGGACTCAAACCGTCACCAATCCTCTTTTCTCCATGTTTCAGCTTGGAGGCAATCTCCTCATCATTTCCCAGCGTTGTGAGTGACCCCTCAGCAGCCGGTGCTGGAAGTGTGACTTTGCTGACACTGAGGCTCGTGAGCCCATGACCATAAAGTCCGTAGGTGTACAGCAGGACATTGCCCACTGTCACGTCAACCTCGCCTGTCCCCTTAGCACCGTCGCCGCCAACGTAGAAGTCCGAGACACCGCGTGAGGTGTACGGAGAGGGCGGAAGTTCCTCCTGAATAAGCATATTCTCGTCAACGTACACAAAAAACTCATCCGAAACCCTTCGCAGTATCACTTGATACGTTGTGCCAGGCTGCCACGTAACATCTTCATCTAACAACCCCCGAGACTTTCCGTTGACAGTCACTCCCCACTTATTGTGCTTCGTGTAGAACAGACCAACGAGCACAGTGCTGGCATTGT